TTTAGAGTACATAACCTACCATCTTTTCAGATCGCCAGCATCTGAATAAAGCGCTCATAAAGATTCAGTCCTTGTCTCTGCTTATTGATTCTGATAGTGACAAGCAGCACCAACGTGAGTTTTCCAGTGTCAACGTTAGAACCCTCCACCTAGGTAAGGGACACAGCCCCTCCCTCCCTATTACTTCTGTCGTCCTACTGGCCCTCTCACCTTTTGCCCCCAACACCAATTCTGGCAGAAGATACTTTCCCTCAATTAAATTTGTTTACTCTGCCCATGGTGGGGCATCCCACCCTTCCTTACCATCTTTACTTCTCAAAACCCTCTGTTCTCCAGGCACATTCCCAAACGCCCTTCTATCTGTTCACAACTCCCTATCTTGTATCCTGGACAGAGAAGTACACCTTTTCCAAGATGGTCACGTCCACTATAATGTGGAGCAGCTTCATAGGCATCACGTGGCAAAGCCTCGTACGCCTTGCTGTCGGGGATGGAACCCGGGTCCCCAAAGACAGTCTAGAGCGTGTTCATCTCTTTGTGATCGCTCGTGGGTGGAGGTAAAGATGATTGCGATGGCTGTAAGGCGGACAAGTTTACCTTGTGCAGAAAGAGCCCTTGTACGGCGCTGTCCCAAGATGGCGGCTCTCCCAAAAATGCCCTAATGGGGGCCGCCATACTCCATCAAAGTGTCTGTCTAAAAAGACCTTAAAGCTGAATGGAATCTTCATCTGTGGAAGGACGCCCCGGGATGGTGGTTGAGAGCTTGCAGTCTCGGGTGCCACAGAGGTTAAACTTGACCAGCCAGGTGAGTCTGAAGCAGAAGCGATGGACCAGGGCTCTTTCCACACAGCTGGTGTGCGAAGGATCTATTAAGGGGTCTCAGCTTGGCGTTCAGGGTTTGTGGAGATTTGGGGTCTGTGGTACGGCAGGCTGTGGGGAGCGTTGTGGGGTGGGGGATGCATTCTGTGACTGAGCGAGCGGGATGGTGAGAAATGGTGAGTGCCTGGGGATGGTGAGGGATTGGCGTGCATGGGGTTAACCTTTATTGGGGGAGGCCAGTGACAGGGGCCGTCTTGGAGTCAAGTCAGTGATTGTCATGACCCAGGGGGCGGGTCACTGATTGGGACACACTTGGGGGACAGGTGTGGAGAATACATTGACTAGGGGGTGAATGTCGGGAGGTCAATCAATGACTGGGATGTCTGTGAAGGAAGTCAGGAATCGGTGTGTCAATGCCTGAAAATGTATGAAGATCAGTTCTTAGGATGGCCTTGGGGAATTGGAGCATCCCTGGAGGAAGGTCGTGGACTGGGGAATCATTGGGACATCAGCTAATGGGAGTGTCAATGGGGGGAGGTCAGTGACTGACACAACCTTGACGAGTAGTGTAGTGTTTTTGACATCCTTGGCATGTCAGTGTTTGGGACTTACTTGGGGAAGGGGGTCAGTGATTGGGGCATGGGCATCTTTGGGCTTGGTCTTCCGGGGAGGTCAGTGCTCGCGGCAGCATTGGTTCTTGTCATGGGGGTTCTGGAGAGTCACGGGGTCTGGGTGTTTGGGTCTGGATAAGCCTGTGAGAATCGGATAGAACTCATGAACTATGAACCGAAATAGCCATATGGCCCCTATTTTGGGTATGATGTTGTAAGGCATTGATACCTGAGAGATCTAGGGGAGTTGGAACTTGAGAGGGATCTGCCTGTTGGAGAGCTCTGGGGTTTTAAAGCCCATTGACTTCCCATAGGTTATACTCATACCTTCTGAAAGCCTGCTTTCCAGCTTCCTCTGTCCTATAAATCACCTCTCCCTCTCAGTCTCCAGAACATGAAAAATGCTGTGAAATGATCAAGGTCTAAGCAAATCTAAGATAAAATGCTATCATGAAAGATGTGGTATCTAACCCTCTTGTTCTCAAATTTACTGCATATCTCAGGGATCTTTTTGGTCATCTGACACATAAGAGGACATTCCCACATCCCAAATCCCAAGTCAGAAATACATTAAAATTTTGGCATATTTTCTTCTCCATCTTTTTCTGTGACTTATTTTATTACAAAGGTGTGGTAACACTGTATGAGCTGTTTATAATTTGCTTCTTAAAGGAACTTAACCTTATATAATAAAATCGTTCTAATATTACCAACTTATGGTACAAAGTCTTGTTGATGCTGCATATTTCTTATAGTGATCTCCTTTCAATGTTGACTGAAGTTACATTAAATCTTTGCAATAATTCGGTTAGACATGATGCATTAAAATACTGATATGTGTCTGAATATTGCTTAAGTTTATTCCAGATCCTATCTATGTTTGGTGCTTTGCAATTAACTTTTTTCCCTTGAACTTCTCTTTTTTCTTTTTGTCCCCTTGAAATTTTTATTATTTTTTAATTTCCTGGTAGGTATAAAAACATTTCCTTACTGAACTCTTATCACTACTGTGTTTTGATTGTCTATTAGGTTTTCCAGATAAGCAGTCAAAAGACGTGCAGGTAAGCTGAACTCAGAGAAAAGAATATGGAGTTTGGATTTGGGCAGACCGAAGTTTTCATCCATATTCCGCCACTTACTATGTGAACTTGGGCAAGTTTCTCAATCACTCTGAGATTCTTTTCCCATTTAAAAAAAACAAACAAACCCATACTAACTACTCATACAGTTAAATTACCTAGCACATGGTAGGTACCCAAGACAGGTTAGGAAGAAGTATTCCAGTATGTATACCTGTTTTCTGGATTTTTTAGGCTTTAAAAAAAGTTTTCATTTGACTTTTAAAAGTTTTCCTTTTTCCTTGTAATGGTCTTTCTCTAAATACAGATTTAGTTTTGAGTAACGTTTTGGTGAAATTATATAATTTAATGGAGATAGCTTTGTTGTTTGTGTTTATTATAAATATGTTTATTGTAAAGTAAACCAAGTAATATATACTACTTTTAATCTTTAGATTATCATATTAACCTACTACCTAAAGAAAACATAGTTAAACTTTAGATATTATATATATGTGTGTGTATATCTAAAATATATATACACATAAAAACAAGAACACAACTCAGAAAAACCTGTTATACTCACATACTTATAGTTACAGTTTATTACAGCAGTGAATTTCTGTAATCCCCAGGTTTTGGTTTTCTGGGATAAAATAATCCCGCCCTGGCTGGTGTGGCTCAGTGGAGTGCCAGCCTGCAAACCAAAGGATTGCCAGTTTGATTCCCATTCAGGGCATGCCTGGGTTACAGGCCAAGTCCCTGGTAGGGGGCGCGGGAGAAGCAAACACACATTGATGTTTCTCTCCCTCTCTTTCTCCTTCCCTCACCCTCTCTCTGAAAATAAATAAATAAAATCTTTAAAAAAAAGAAGGAAATGTTACTTAAAAAAAAAAAGTTCCTATAAGGGGAGAAAGTAAAGGTACCAAGATTAACACTACATCCGGGGACCACAGACCTTGTACTAGAGTATCAGAGAAGAGCCCAGAATCAACAATGGAGTACCTGATAGAGTGTCTGGCTGTGTCTAAGGACTCCAGGAAATATCCAAGTCCCAAGTGAGTTGTTTGTATACTTATTTAGCTTTATAGTGGATCTGAGGAGGTTTGATAATATATATATATTAAAAGAACATGTTTATTTAATATTTATGAGGATTACTCCACACCAGATAGAAAACGAAAAGATAAATGTAAGAATTCGGGAAAAAAAAATACTGAGGTGAAAGATCAGTTTCACAGCCAGGTTTAAAATGAGAATTTGTAAAGCATATGTTTATATACATTGTGTAAAGTTAGAACATAGATTATAGCTCATGAAGTTCTAAATAGTTAATAAAATGAAGATGCAAACTCATCTCTTATTTCACTTGTCTACTTGCTACATAAGAAGCCATCCCTCAAAACATTTATTTTGACGTGGATTCAGTGGGTTAGAGAGTGAGACAGGGTCCCATGGTGATGGTTTGTATGTTCTTGGGTTCCCAAGACCACCCTTAGTTTCAGTGATTTGCTGGAGAAATCAAAGTACTCAGCAATGCCGTTATGCTTACAATTATAGTTTATTATAGCAAAAAATATGCCGATTCAAATCAGCAACAAAGAAAGGTGCATAAGGTCATGTGCGGGAGACACCCAGCAAAAGCTTCTAGCTGTTTCTCAGTGGAGTTATGTGGACAGTGTTTATAATTTTCCCAGCAATGATTTGTTACAACACATTGAGTATTAATAATCAGGGAAGCTCACTTGTGCCTTAGGGTCCAGGGTTTTTATTGGAGTTGGTCCCATAGGCAAGGCTCACACATCAGAGCCAGAATCAATTCATGGTAGGCCCATTTTATTAAATTTACTTGACCCAGAGTTATACTCTAACACGATCCCACAATTACTTTCCAGGTTCCTACTGAACACATACGCAATATATAAAGGGAGAAATACTTCATGACTACATTGGGTTTATCCAAAGAATGCAAAGTAGGTTAAAATGTGTTTCATTTTCTAAGCAATGTAATTTACCACTATATCTGGCTGCCATAACAAATACTAAAAAATGGATAGTTTAAATAACAGAATTATTTTCTCACAGCGCTAGAGGCTAGAAGTCCAAGATCGAGGTCCCAGCAGACTGGGTTTCTGGTGTGGATCCTCCTCGCGCCTGGCGGTCGGCTGCCTTCTTTCTATGCTGTCACGTGGCCTTTCCTTAGTTTGTCTGCACTGAGAAAGAGAGAGTTCTCTGGTGTCTCTTATAAGGAGCAAGTGGGTGAAAATAAGGTGACAGAAGTCGTTTTCTGTACCTTCTCACCGTTCTAAGCCTTCCCTGCAAAGCGGGGGTGGGGGGGGGGGGGTAAGGAGACTACACCAGCGCTACAGTAGTAGGCAGGTCAACTGCTGCTCTGGGTTGACCTCCAATTGGCCGCGTCAAATTCTACGTCATAGAAACGACCCGGAGTCAGAGTCCGAGACTCCGGAACGACGTGCGCTGACCCTCGCCGGTCGCCGTCCTCTCTGCTTCCGAGGGTCCCGTCGGAGCGGAGGTGGGGCTGCGGACGCCGGGGCAAAATGTTTAGAGAAAAGGTTTCGTGATTGGTTTCCAGCGGCCCAGACGGAGGTCGGTGTCGGGTTCCGGGCGTGTATCGGGGCGCGTTTTTTTGTTCGTCGTGGTTCCGGAACGGGCAGCAGTTGGTGTTGGGAAAGCGAGTGGGAGTCCTCGCGGCGGGGACGGCGGAGTTGGTTCCTTGTGGGATCCGTTGGGAGCCCAGTGCCGGGGGTTCGATGTTGGGGCGAACACTTGGCCTGTCTTTGTTAGAGTTGCGTTTGGGGTGTCCTTGCTGGGGACCGGCGTTTGGGGAATTACGTGTTTATTGCTAATCGCACGCTTAACGTTAGAGATGGAGGTTCTGGTCCTCCTGCGTCCCTGTTTACTGTATAGTCCTTAGAAAATTTGTTTCGGGTTCTATTCCGACCCAAGTAATAGCACCCCTATCCTCCTAAACACTTGTCCAGGAAATAACATTAAAATTGACTATATTTAATTTTTAGTGTTGGGATCAGGTGTGTGGGTTCTGATAACAGTACATGTTTAATCTAACATTATAAACATTTCCATATTATGAACTTTTCGGAAGTTTTCTTCTTTCCTTTTTGAAACTAGTGCAATTTTGTTGCATTAAGTGGGTAGAGCTGACGGAGATTTAGATGCAACACTTGTCAGGCACGCGTGATGGATTTCCTTTAACCCAAGTTGTTTCTTTGACGAGCTGTGGTGTGTTTCACTGTGTGTCTTGGACACTTTTATTCCTAAATAGTTTTGACGTTTGTTGTAATTGTAAATGGTGACTTTTTCCCCCCATGTGGCCCCACCTCCTTTTTGTTTCTTCCAATTTTATGTAATTCACAAAAACAAAAAATAAACAGATACATTTTGTCACCTCATTCTGTTCATGGTGTTACTAACAGCTTCTAATTTGATTCCTTTGTGTTTTCTAGTTGAGTATTTTTGTCTTCTGCTAGTATCATTTTGGCCAGGTGGCAAGTGGATGATATGGTCTGCGGTGTAAGAAGAACGTCGGTCTGTTTCTGACTTCGGTAGGTTAATCTCTTGAGTCAGGCTTCTTCATTTTTGGGGGGGAGGGGGAATAGGTGTTGTAAAATATAATAATTTCTACTTCATAAGAGTTCTTATGAAGATTTAATGAGCTAATGGACAAAATACAGTGTCTAGCACAAAGTACAGTTTGAATAAATAATTGCAATTTATCAGGTTTTTATTCCTCTTTCTCAAAAGCTTTCACCATGCCCTCCTCCCCCTGCTTTATTGAGATATAATTGACATACAACATTCTGTAAGTTTCAGGTGTAGTGTTGATTTGGTACACTTACAAACTGCAAAATTATTACTACCGTAGTGTTAGTTAACACCTGCATGATGTCATATAATTACCATTTGTGTGTGTGTGTGTGTGTGATAACAATTAAGATCTACTGTCTTAGCAACTTTCAGGTATATAATACAATATACTAACTGTAATCACCATGCTGTACATTAGATTTCCCTGAAAGGCTTTTTGACTTTAAAATTTTTTTCATTTCAAATTTTTCTTTGAAGATTTCTTTGATTTATGTTGATAGATTCCATATACTTATTTATATATGTATACATATATATTTTTTAATCCTTACCTGAGGATATGTTGGGGTTTTTTTTTTTATTGAATTTAAAGAGAGAGGAAGGGGTGGGGGGAGAGAGACAGAGGGATACTGATGTGAGAGAGGAAAGTTGATCGGTTGTCTCCAGTATGTGCCCTGACCTGGGATCAAACTTGCAACTGAGGTATGTGTCCTGATTGGGAATTGAATTTGCAACCTTTTGGCTATGGGATGACGCTCCGACCAACTGAGCCGCCGAGACATAGTTGGATTCCCAGTATATTTATATATTCGTTCAAAATGACTTACTCTTTTAATGTGAGGCTGGATTCTGTTTGCCAGTAGTTTATTAATATTTTTGCACCTAGAAATGAAAATATGTCTTGGATTTGCTTCCAAATAATCCAGTGGACAAGGGGAGTGAGTGGTGGTGTAGATAAAGTTAGGTTTGAGTTGATAATCATTGAAGTCACTTAATGGATATATAGAATTTGATTATACTGTTCTTTTTTCTTTTTTTTTGGTACATGTTTAATTATGCCATTCTTTTTTTCTTTAAATTTTTCATAATAAAGTATTAAAATTTTTGCTTCTGCATATATAAAACTGGTCTGTATTCTTTAAAAGTGTTTTCAAATATAACATTAAAAATAAAACAATAAAACATTACAGCACCCCAGAAGCCCCCATCTCATCATATTCCCCTCAGAGGTAATTATTATCTAAAAATATCATCTTAAATTTGCCTGATTGCTAACTTTATATAAATGGAATCATACAGTAATGTCCTTTTGTGTTTTGCATCTTTTGCCCAATATTTTGTGGTGAAATTCACCTAAGCTGTCACATACAGCAGTAGTTCATTTCTTTTCATTGCCCGTACTATTCCATTCTTTGATTATACCCCAATTTATTTATCTGTTTTGCTGTCAGTAGATGTTTGGGTTGTCATTGGCTTGTGTCTGTTACGAATAACGCTATATGAACATTTTTGTACATACATTTTGGTGCATGACACTTTTGTTGGGCAGATACTTAGTAGAATTTCTGAAGCTTGGGCATGCTACATACAAGGAGAAACGTCAAATGTCCAGTCGTAATGGGAGATTCTTAACACACCTCTCTCAGTAACAGAACAAGGAGACAAAAGGCTCGAAGGCTATAGATTAACAAGCGTCAGCAAACTTTTTCTTTAAAGGGGCAGAAAGTAAATATTTTAGGCTCTGCCGGCCAGATGGTCTGTCTGTACTTGCTCAACTCTGCCACTGTAATTGGAGAGTAGCCACAGAATATACATAAACAAATGGGTGTGGCTGTGTTCCAATAAAACACTATTTTCAGAAACAGGTCACCCCTGAAAGATTATTGTAACATAATTAACAGACTTGATCAATATAAGACATTCCACCCCATAATTTTCAAATGCATATATGACATTTATAACAGTGGGCTCTAAAGGAAGTCTGAACAAATTTCAAAGGATCAAAATCATACAGACCATTTTGTCTAACCATAGTGAAATTAAGCAGTAAAGCAATATCAAAATAAGTAGAAGATCCCCATTTGTTTGGCAAGTATGCTGTGCACGACTAAATAATCATGAGTCAAAAAAATATTACAATGGAAATGTATCAAACTGCATTTTAATAATAACCCTACAGGTCAAACCTTGTTGAATTCAGCTAAAGTAGTCAGAAGAGGGAAATTGTAGCCTTAAATACGTTAGAAAAGAAGGAAGGATGAAATCAATGAGTAAACATTTATGTCTATAGTTCTCGTTTTTTTCCTAGTGTCTTGATTAGTATTCTGAAACGCTGGCTTCACCTAATTAGTAAAGTAGCTCTCCTTTCCTGTTGACATAATATTGGACTTGTGTGTACTGTAAAGATTAAGTAGAACTCAAAAGGCACTGATAACTTCTCATTTTTAATTTTTTCCCATGGAAATTCAGTAGAGCGAATAGTATAGTAATATGTGCCTGTCAGTTAGCTTCAACAATTATCAACTCATGACCCATCCTGTTCATTTGTGCTTCCCCCTCTTTAGATTTTCTTCTGGAGAATTTCATTGCAAATTCAAAGTTTCATGTCCTTAAACCTGTAAATATTCCAGTATGTATCTCTAAGTGGTAAGGTCATTTTAAAAATTTATAACTAACTTTCAAATGTATCCAAATTAATAGCTCTTCTTTTATTTCATCCATTACCTGGTCCATAGTCATTTTTTTCTGATCATCTCAAATGAATCATTTTAGCATTGAATCATGCTCCAAATAATATGTGCACATTGCATTTATTTGTTATATCTCTTAGGTCTCCTTAGACTATAATAGTCCCTCTCCCATTTTTTTCTTTTGTCCTTATGCCTCATAATACATTGCAGTGAGCAGTATACAGCACCATTAATGAAGGGTTCTTCCCTGAATACTTAAATACGGAATGATTGCCCCAGTGTAATAACAAAAACACTTAGGAATATGTGGGCACTCCTAAGTGGTTTTAAGTCAGTTTCCAGAGCCACCACTTCTATGTATTCTCTTGCCTAAAACTGATCTATGTTAGAACTTGGCAGTGGACCGGACCGTGAGCTGGTTTTTGTTTCCCATCTCTTCTTTCCTTTCTGCTCTATTCTGCCCTTACTTAAAAAAAAAAAAAAAAAAAAAAAAAAAAGGAAAAAAAAGGCATCCTTCTTGCTATCTTCCGTAGGAGCATGGGCCTCATGATGTGGAAGTGTCTAGCATGGTAAAGGTGCTGATGCAATGTCAGGGCCTTGTGTTAGGGTGAGTCCATGCAGCAAGAGAGGGCTGTGGTCCCACATGCATGTCTTCTCATAGCTAAATTTGCTTTTGAATCCACAGGTACAGGTTCTGGTCTGTCAGAGCAGGACGTTTCCAGTGCTAGGAGGAGGAGGTTTCAGGTTTGGGAGATCAGCAGTTCCTGGCCTGCGATACCTGATGATAGCTTCCTGGCAGGCCCAGAGACACAGGACAGAACACACCCCAGAGCTTCCAGTCTTTTCTTTAGGACTTGAGAAAATGACCAAGGCCCAGGTGAGAGATGTTTTACCTACTTTTTATCCTTTGTTTTCCAGTGAATGTATGGAAGCTTCTAATGTCTGATGAAATGATACAGTATATGTTGCCCTGGCTGGTATGGCTCAGTGGATTGAGCGCCAGCCTGTGAACCCTGTGGTTCACAGGTTTGATTCCCAGTCAGGGCATATGCCTGGGTTATGGGCCAGCTCCCTGGTAAAGGGGCATGTGAGAGGCAACTGCACATTGATGTTTCCCTCCTTTTCTTTCTCCTTCCCTTCCCCTCTCTCTAAAAATAAATAAAGTCTTAAAAAGAAAAGAAATGATACAATATATGTTGATAAAAATCAGGATCTGTCCAAATTATGTAGATAATAGGGTCCATATAAAGTTCTTAAGGTTGGAACATAAGTAAGTAACTGTAAGACCCTGTGGGTTGCTAAAGCTTTGGACTTGTGTCTGCTTTTCTTGGCAGCCGTATTAATAAGGAAAACATGAAAAGTTACATGATTTGCAGCACCTGTGAGGAGAAGACAAACTAATTCTTCAGAGGAAGTAAACATTTCATTGCTCTTAGATCTTAAGAAATTTCTTAAGAAATACGGAGAGGCTTTGTAGTAGGTGGTGCCCTCAATATCAGTGATGTAATAAAAGATACAAGATGACTTCTTTTGCTTTTTCTTATTGTTTTCCTCAGAGTAAGCTAAGGTGTTGATGCCAAAGCAGAACTTGATTGTACAAAATCAATGTGCTTTGACAATAGAGCCTTCTGGAAATCTGTATCAAGGAATAAAGCTTGGATTACCTAACAGAATGAATGAACTACTTTGATCTTTCATAAAGAAGTTTCTCAACCAGATTTGTGTTACTGGTTTGGCAGGAGACAGCTGAAAGTTCCTTTCTTTGAGAACAGCTTGGTGTATAGACATTGACAAAAATGCTCCCTTTATACTTTCTTTACCCCAGGTTCAAGTATGAAATCATAGCCAATTGTTTGAGTCTTTGTATTTTTAAAGTTTTGTGTTTTTTTTGAGGGCAGAAGGAAGGGTGGGAGAAAGGAAGAGAAACATTGATGTGCGAAAGAAACATCAATGATTTGCCTTTCCAGCGCCCCCAGTTGAGGACCTGGCCTGCAACCCAGGCATGTGCCCTGATCAGAAGTTGAATCGGTGACCTTTCTGTTCACAGGCTGGCACTCAGTCAGCTGAGCCACAGCAGCCAGGGCACATGTAGAAATCTTCACCCTCAGAGATGATGATATTAGGAAGTGGGGCCTTGGAAAGGGATGTAGGCCTTGAGGGTGAAGGCTTCATGCATGGGATCAGTGTTCTTATAAAAGAGAGTCCACAGAGCCCTCTCACCCTTCCACCACGTGAGGGACACAGTGTGAAGGTGCCCACAGTGAGCCAGGAAGTGGGGTCTCACCAGAATAGAACCATGCAGGCTCCCTACCTTGGACTTTCCAGTTTCTACAACTGTGAGAAATAAGTTTGTTTTTATAAGCTACCCGAGTCTGTGGTATTTTGTTACAGCAGCCTGAGTGGACTAGGACACACGGCACTATGGTATGTAAAATGGTCACAGTGTGCAGAACATCATGGGGAAAGTGATCAGGACATGTTCCCCTCTCTCTTTTCCACATCATCTCTTCCACCTGATTGCCTTGAAATTTGTCATTGCAGGCATTGCTCTCATTTGAGGACGTGGCTGTGGGCTTCACCTGGGAGGAGTGGCAGCTATTGGATCCAGCTGAGAAGGATCTGTACAGGGACGTGATATTGGAGACCTACAGCAACCTGGTGTCAGTGGGTGAGGCCAGCACCACATCAGTTGCCTTTTCCTTCTCATTCAGTGAAATCTGTAGGGTTCCTGAAATATTTTATAGCTTGGACTAAAGCATTATGGGTGATAGACCTTTATTCTCCCGTTTGGTCCTGAAGTCTATGCTCTACCTCTCCAAGCCAAAGGCTATTACGTTACCGAAGTGCAAATGATGTGCTCCTTGAAATATAACTTTCTTCAGTTTTCCATAAAGTCCTCAAGCTTAAATATTTGGTGCTAAAGCATTCATCAATTTCCCGTTCACAGGATATCAAGCTCCCAACCCAGATTCACTCTTCTGGCTAGAGCAAGGAGGACCACCGTGGATAGCAGAAGGAGCAGCCCGTAGTCCAACCTGTCCAGGTGAGTGAGTGAAAACCAAGGGAGGGGGGAGAGATGATGCTAAATTTCTAGTTAGTCAGTAAAAGGTTGACACATTTGAAATGTTGTTTAAAGAACTTCTCTTACCCCAGTGGGTGACCTTTCTACGTCTCTGTTCTTTATTAGGGATGATTGATGTATTCCTTTTTCCAATTTTCTGGATCTGATTCCATTCTCTGTCATCTAGAACCTTGGTTTCTTACCTGGTTCTATTCTTCCCAGCATGCTCACATCTTCCCTGTATTTTTTTCTGCAGAATGCTCACTTCCAGTTCTGCCTGATACTTGCTATGAAATTCCTCTTACTACCCATACAGCTCACTGTGCACTTAGCACTGCTTTCTATCTGCAGAGAGGGCCAGTATCCATCCCTGACAAACCCGCTCACCTTAGTCATCCAACAACCACACACACGTCATCTTTCAGGGCACCCCTATCTATATACTCTCTGCTTCCCCAGCTTCCAGTTGTCATTTTCTAAAAATCTGCTTCGTTCTCATGTTAAAAGTTTAATTCATTCTCAGGGCCTAAGCACTCTGCTCGGTGCTAGTCTCAGATTGACTTCTGCTGCTACTATCTAATCTGCCCTCTAATCCTGTGTGTTGTCGGCCAGGCCACTGAGGCAGCTGCCCTGTGAGGTCCCACTTCTGGATGCGAAAACCGGAATCCTCCTTTCTCCCAGAGAACGTCTGCACCATCATGGAATGTATTTCTATATAATGAAGAATGAAGCTCTCAGTACTCTGATAGATATTCCCGAGTTGTCATCTCTCTAAACTCCAGTCTGCTCTCTAATTCTACATTTTGTCTGCACCTAGGATAATTATCCAGGGAGCTCTTTTTTCCTTCAGTGTGAGAACCTGAGGTCATTTTTCATACTTTTTGTGCATTTTATTTAGGTTCTGCTGGGCTGCTTTACTCCCTGGCATCTGGTCACCTTTGCGTTACCTTGAGTCATCCCTGTTTGCGCTATCATTTCTGAAGGTCTCTGCTGTTCCTATTAACCTCTGTTGTTTCAAAAAGGCCTTTGGAAACTTCCTGTCTCCATTCCCACCTCAAAGTGGGCTACCGTCATTTAGACTTGCAGTGTTTGTTGCTACATACACCTGCTGATTTCAGTATTCTCTTAGTTCCTGCTGATGTTCTAGCTGCTTTCCTCTGTGGGTGGGTGGGGCATTAAAGCAATGCGAGGAATGAATGTTGGTTGAAAATCCAAGAGATCCACATATTCAGGGGTGGGCAAAAGTAGGTTTACAGTTGGAATACAAATAAATAGTACAATAATTAATAAATAATACAAGAATACACTCTGCATTTCACATATTCACACCTGTAAATCTATTTTTGCCTACCCCTGGCTTAGAGCTTGAGAAGTTAAGAGCCCAGCCAAGTAGAATGAGAAGTATGTGGGCCCTGGCTGGTACCTCAGTTGTTTAGAGCATCGTCGTGATACACCAAGGTCGTGGGTTCGGTCCCCTGTCAGGGGACATGTGAGAATAAACCAGTGAGTGTATAAATATGTGGAACAAAGCAATGTCTGTCTCTCTCTCTCTCTAAAATCAATTAAAAAAAAAAAAAAAAGATGTATGCAGGCTCTGGTAGAAGGAGGGTCAGAAGATGATGTCACAGAAACACGTCACAAACTTATTCCAAGAAGGAGGAAGTGAAGTATTTTATTGAGTATAAAATAACCTGAGGAACTGGCATCTCCACACTTCATTATGTTGCGTTTTTATATCCAGACACTGCCTTCTTTCACTTGGAGCTCTTTTTCTCTTTGTGACATTTCCAAGTGCACCTGGAACTTCCCTTCTTCTGACTTCTTGTTTCCCTTGTATCTGCACCACACTAACTCAGTCATCATGATCTTTTATGGTGGTATTTTACCATTGGGTATGAGGCTTTTCTTCCATATGGAAAGAAGGGTCTGCCCTTAGTATAAACATTACTTGCACCCATTCATCACATTTTTCTTGAAAGCAGTTTTTCTCTTTTCATTTTTGCTTTAATTTTGTTTTTTAATAAGGGATGTGTGTAAACTATGTGGGACGTTTTCAAACTGCAGGATTTCTCTCTGGAGATTTGGCATCCGATTTGTTAGATATGGAGAGTGATCTGTGCATATGAAGTTTGAAAGACTTGCCAGGAAATTCTGCCTTGTTTCCTGTGGTTGAAGGAGCACCACATTCCCCTGGCCAGGTAGCTCAGTTGGTTAGAGAATTGTTGTGATACATCAAGGTTGTGGGTTTGACCCCTGGTCAGGGCACATATAAGAAACCACCCATGAATGCAAATCAGTGTTTCTTCTCTCTCAACTCAGTAAACAAAAACAAACAAACAAAACAGAAGCACCACACTCATATGATCCAGGAGATTCAGATGTAATAAGGGACAAAAATACCTTGCAAGTTTTTAAAGTCCCATTTGGAATGGGCTGACATACGTGCGTAAAATTTAAAAATTTTTAGCATTTGATTATGAGGCATAGAGAGGGACTCTTTACAAAATCAGAAAAGTGAGCTTCAATAAAATGTTACAGAAAGGAAAAAGTACTCTTTTATGGAAGCGTGATAAAATAATTTCTGCAGGAAAGGTTTTGGAAATAAATGATGATGGGAGGCCTTATGTGTTAGTAATATAAAAAGATGACTTTGGCCTTGGCTCATGTGGCTCAGTGGATTGAGCACCGGCCTGCGAACCAAAGGGTTTCTGGTTTGATTCCCAGTCAGGGCACATGCATGGGTTGTGGGCCAGGTACCCAGTAGGGGATGTGTGAGAGGCAACCACATGTTGATGTTTCTCTCCCTCTCTTTCTCCTTCCCTTCCCCTCTAAAAATAAATCAATAAATAAAAATTAAAAAAAAAGACGACTTTGGAGATGGAAATTAGGAAAGTGATGTGTGAGATTCTTACATATTGGCCTGTAGGAGACTATGGGAAAGGAAATGGCTGAGTTTACTCCCAGGCCATAAGCTTTTGTTTCTTCAGTTTCTTCTGGGATATCTTTTTCTTCTGTGCAACTTCCTTTTCTGGTTTAGGAACAATCTGTTCTTTTTCAGTAAGGTTCATCTCAAAGTGGCAGGGAGAGCTCATGTATAGGTTGATCCGCCCATGAGCTCTTTAAGTTCTACATTGCATCTTGGGAGCTTTGTTCACCTGGATGTACTCAATGACCAGAGAATCTACATCTAAACCCTTAAGTTCAGCATTATGCTCTGCGTTTTTACGCATGTGCAGCAAAGTCAGCATTCTTTTTGGGCCACTGACCCTGTGTCCAGCCCCACTGTTTGGCCTGGGCACACCTATCACCTCCACCATTGTATTGATGGAATGGGACACATTGCTTCTTTAATGTGACATCTTTCAGATACTTGGTGGCTTTTCAAATATGCATACCTTTGATGGCCTGGGCAGTTTCACGGGTGTTCTTGAAGTGAACACAAAGATTGGAACCTTGTGATTTGCATGATTTTGTGGGGTTTTCTGGGTCACGTGAATAGTGAACCATCTTCAAAGGTGACCTCTGGTAGCTTTTCGGAAGAGCCATTTTTTTTGCTAGTTTTTTAAAGAGTCTTGCTTGATAGCTGGATTGCAGCAATAGAAAAACATACCTAGGAGTTATAGGATAAATGGAAGATAAGGCAGTTGAATGTTTTCTTCCTGGATGGAGAACGGTTCTTCAGAATCTTGATTGAGGTGATCTAAGAACGGAGATTAAGGGAGAATGTAGTACTAGTTGAAAATAGGAAATTTGGAGATGACTGTGTGAAGGAGATTATAATGGTGACTTTAGGAATATGAGGGTCTGTACCTGTGCTGTCTAGTATATTGGCCACTGGCCACCTTTGGCTATTGAAATTTAATTCATGTTGGGTAAAATTACAGATTCAGTGCTGCAGTCACCCTAACTGTATTCAAGTACTCAATAGCAATACATGGCTAGCATATTGGAAAAGACAGATATAGAACATTTCCATCATTGCAGAAGTTTTTATTGGACAGCACTCTACAAATTACACTGTGGTTAAACTCATTGGAGAAGATAATATTTCCACCAGTCAGTACAACTGTGACTCTTCTCTGGGACACAGGCAGATGGCTCAAACACCTGTTTACAATTTCAGATGAGCATATATGTGTCTGGATTTATTGGACCTTGTGAGGTTGTATCATAACGAGTTGAGTATTGATTGCCTACAGTATTACTCTAAATAGGTGGTCAGTGTTTTTACGAAAGTTTAATTTTGGTGTATAGTTGGAATGTAAGGAGAAAGATTTAGTAACAAGGTGATTATTGAATATTTTACTACAGTAAACTTGGAATGAGATGGTGTAGATCCTGCATTCTTTTTTTAAAAAGATTTTATTTATTTATTTTTAGAGAGAAGGGAAAGAAGGGATAGAAACATCCATGTGAGAGAGAAGCATCAATTGGTTGTTTCTTGCAACATGCTCCAACCTGGTCCTCAACTCATGCATGTGCCCTGACTGGGTTATCGAACCAGTGACCTTTTGCTTTGCAGGATGATGCTCAATCCACTGGGCCACACAAATCAGGGTGGGTCCTGCATTCTGATTTCCTAATTCCAACCTTTTGTTCCTAAAATCCATGTTGTTTATTTGTTCGATCAGCATAGATAGGATTCCATTGTCTCTGAGTGGGTTTGTCATATTATCTGTGCATAGCCTTCTCCCACAATTCTAAAACTTGGAGTGCATGAGACTCTTATCCTGGACCTTCCTTTTTCTCTATCCATTCTTCCAAATTGTCTCATCTGTTCCTCCGCGGACCAAATATTTAAATAATGTTTATGTACTCATGACTTAAAATTGTTATCTTAAGTCTAGCTCTTCTCCACGCTCATAGATCTAATTGGGTACTAAGTACTTTCTCTTGAATGTGTCTCAGTCATCTCAGACCTGATGTATGTGTCAAGTGGAATGCTTCGTTTTTCCCCAAATGTCAAACCTATCTCCGTAATCATCCTTGTTTTATTAAGTGGCACCAGCACCTTCATTGATGCTTAGGCCACATACTGAGGAGCGATCCTTGATTCTTCCCTTTCTATCTTCAAAATTTTTCTGACAGTGCATCTTATCTTTCCCTCATCTATGCTGTGTCCTTTGGTTTTTTTTTGTACATCTCTCCATCTTTGTGATCATGCAGAAGATAACTGTTAATGTCTCATCTGAACTCCACTATTGTCTCCTCTATATTCTCTCAACAACTTCATCTCCAACTTATTCTCATACAACAGTCATGTGACCTTTTGGAAATATTAATTCAGAACGTATTGTATTCCTGCTAAAAAATGTTCTGTGGCTTCCTGCCATAAGTCTTCCTACATGATCTGTATGCTCTCAATTGTACCTACCTTTCCAAACTTGTCCATTGCTACCTCACTCGAGCTTGGGATAGTCCAGGTACACCATCCTCTCTTATGTTTCTTGATCCTACCTAAGTTTTTCTACCTCAAGGTTTTTGTAATGACTATTCCTCCTTGGAATGTTCATGTAGCAATTTGCAGAATATTGCTCATTCTTATCCTGTGATGTCAGTTTAACTTTTCTTGTAGATGACTACTTGACGTAAGATTGACCTACCACTATTCTCCCACCTCCTTCAATTCATATTTCCTATTTAATTTCTTTCTTTTTTTTTTTGCTTCCCTGTTGATCCTCTTTCTCTCTTATTACTACAATTACTGCTTAATGGAAACAGAATATATTAGTCACTTTAGAAGTTGCACCAAAGTTACTAATGTATTCTAATATTCTAATGTTCCCAAACACCAGCCCACTTGATGTTTGTTAGATGAATGGATCCATTCTCTGTTTTGTTCTGTTTCAGTCACAGTGTGGTTTTCTTTTCTTCTCTCTCCACATTTCAAGATACTATTTGGAAAGAAGCCCAAGCAATACTTACTCAGTGTAAACTATCTACATTGTTTCTACATTTGTTGGTTGCTGTTTTATAATACTGTCTTTCACAGAGCATAGGATACATTTCCATAATGCACATTTCTCTTAGACTGGGCTCTTACAAGAGCTAGGCCAAACCATGGCATTTCTGTATCAGATTTCCTCCCTGCCACAATTATCATGGATGTTTTTATTGTTCTTTTTCCTAGAAGAAGTATGGGAGAGCGATCATATGCAGTGGCACCGAGAAAACCAAACCAAGATTAAAACTTTGGAAAGATGTCAACAAAGTTATGCACTTGGAAATAATTTCGATTTATGCAAAAGCCTTGTTTCTTTAACAGCAAGACACAATAAGTTTGGCTCACATTATAAAAATTTGAAGTCACATTTAGGTATTGTTAACCAGAATAGAAGGTGTGAAGGAAAGGATTCTGATGAGTTTATTGGCTATGGGAAACCATCTCTCCACATCCAGTGTGATAAAACCCATACTGGAATCAAATACCATGGATGTGTTAGACCCAGTAGCACTAAATCACAGCTCAGTGACCATCAAAAAAGTTGCCCAGGAGACAAACGACATGAATGCAGTGAATGTGGGAAAGTCTTCTCCAGGAAGGCACAGCTCATTAGACATCAGAGAACAGAAAGAGGAGAGAAGCCCCATGGATGCAGTGAATGTGGGAAAACATTCATGAGAAAAATTCAGCTCACTGAACATCAGAGGACTCACACAGGAGAGAGACCCCATGAATGTAATGAGTGTGGAAAAGCCTTTGCTAGAAAGTCACAGCTTATGGTACATCAGAGAACTCATACCGGAGAGAAACCGTATGTCTGCAGTGAATGTGGGAAAGCCTTTAGCCGGAAGTGCCTGCTCAACAGACATCAGCGATCTCATACTGGAGAGAAACTCTATGGATGCAGTGTGTGTGCGAAAGCCTTTTCCCAGAAGGCATACCTCATTGCACATCAGAGACTTCACACAGGAGAGAAGCCTTATAAATGCAGTGAATGTGGAAGAACCTTCTTTTTTAAGTCAGACCTGACCAAGCATCAGAGAATTCATACAGGAGAGAAACCTTATGAATGCAGTCAGTGTGAAAAAGCCTTCAGAAGCAAATCAAAGCTCATTCAGCACCAGCGAACTCACAGCGGAGAGAGACCGTATGCATGCAGTGAATGTGGCAGCGCCTTTGCCCACATGTCAGTCCTCATTAAACATAAGAAAACTCACACAAGAGAGAAAGCTGCAAGTTCAATAACGGTGGAGAAAGCTTCCTCAGGGAGTCATAGCTCTTTATACATGAGTGAACTCTTAAAAGAGCAGAACCCTATGAACACAGTACCTGTGGAAATGTCTCCAGGAACTCAGCCCTTATTAAACATTGGTGAACTGTTAAGGAATAGAAATGTGATTGCAAAACAGCCTTTTCCAAGAAGTCAAGCCTTAGTAGATAATCAGGAATTTGCACAGGGAATATGCCTTGCAAATGCAGTGAGTGTGACCACACCTTCAGTAATAAATTATGTCTTTTATGTTACAGATATTGTGTAGGAAAAAGCCATCTGGTACCAGAAATGTGGAAAAGTCTTTAGCAAGACTCCTGCACATGTGTGTCAGAGCTCACACAGGACAGGAATGCTGTGGGTGCAATGGCTATGGAGAACACTTCTGTTAGAAGTTAGATTTACTCGGTGTCAGTGAAATCATTTTGGGCAGAAATGCAGGAATAGTGGGGACACCTCTCTCTGGAGGTGATAACAGCTGATATCAGTGAATTCTCACAGGTCCAAAACTTTAGGAAAGAACATGATGGTTTTCCATGATAAATGGTACCTCATCACATGTCGGAAAAGCATAGAAAGACAACTCTAGAGGTGTTGGATGTGGAAAATGTTTTTAGTAAGATGTGGAAGAACTCTTAGGGGAAGAAATTCTAAAAGCAATAAATGGTGGAATTCTAACACCAAAGTAACACATGTATCACAATTTTATACCTTGGGACTCTGGGAAAGGCTTCTCTATTAAATCAAACCTTGGACACAGGAATTGCATTATGTAGTGAAAAAAGCTATGAATATAATGAAAGTAGAAATACAATTATATTAGTTTCTTATGGCTGCTGTAACAAATTTCCCCAAATTTTGTGGCTTAAAACAATACAGATTTATTATCATACAGTTGTGGAGGTCTGCAGTATGAAATGCATCTCAGGCTAAAAAGCAAGGTATTTGCAGGACTGCATTTCATTTTGGAGGCTCTAGGGAAGAATCTGTTTCTTTGTTTTTTCCTGCTCCTAAAAGCTGCCCAAATTTCTTGGCTTCGACCACCTTTCATCCTCAAAGCCAGCAATGACTGGTCAACTTTTATGGTTCTAATTCTGATTCTTCTGCCTTTCTCTTCCACATTTAAGTACTCTAGTGATCACATTGGGTCCACCCAGATAATCCAGGATAAAGTCTCCAGTTTAAGATCAGTTAATTTGCAAACTTAACTCCACCTGCTTCGTTGATTTTTCTTTGCCTTAGAACTTAATGTATTCACCAGTTCTGGAAGTCAGGATGCAGACCCTCTGGTCCCTAGTGATTCCTGTCCTTCCCACATGCAAAGTGCAATCACCCTTTCCCAGCATCTCCAAATGTCTTAATCCGTCACAGCACCAGCTCACCAGAATCTCATCTAAATCTTACCAGCTCAAAAGTGCCAAGTCTCATCATGTAAATCAGTATCCACGAGGGCTCTGGGTACAGCCCATACCGAGGCATAATTTCTCTATGAACCTGGGAAACTCAAGAAACAATTACAGGGTCCCAAAATATTTGATTTCATTTCCTACTTTCATTCTCCTTTGTTACTGAATGCAACACATTTGCCCTGACTGGTGTGCTCGGTTGGGTGTCGTCTGGAAGACCAGAATGTCATGGTTTGATTCCTGGTTGGGGCACATGCTAGGGTTGCTAACCAGGTCCCTGGACGGGGATGTGCAAGAGGTAGCCTATCGATATTTGTCTTGTGCATCAAAGTTTCTCTCCATCCCTCCTTTTTCCTTTCTCTAAAATTAATAAATAAAATTTAAAAAAAAATAAAAATAACATTTACAGGTTCTGGGCGTTAGGACATGCATATCTTTGGGAGGCTCTTATTCTGCCTATCACAAAAACATAAGGTTTCAGAGAATTCACATGGTGATAAATTCCTACCTAGCCATTAAATTTGGAAAAGCATGTTCCCAGAGAAGCAATTGTCTATAGTAATTAAGATCTAAATAACATTTCTATAGTAAGAAAATCTTACACTGTGATTGTTAGATATGGGTACCATGGAATGCTCTTGAAATGTGTAAGTCAAATTATGAGTGCTGGAAAAGAACTGAATATTCTCAATATTCCAAAGGAACATGAGATTTATGCTGCTGGTAATGTTGCCAAACATGAGGAGGGACCCCCCCAAAAACCCCAGAGTTTATTAAAAACTATATATTTCACATGTTTAAACTTCAGTCACTTTAAAAGTACTCTCCATTGGATGCAATATACCTATTGAGACATTTTTTTCCACTGCTCAAAACAGTTTTGGAACTAAATTTTGATGCCTTTTAGTGCTTCTGCCATTTTTTTTTCACCTCCACATTGGCAAAGCATTTCCTTTTGAGGACTTTTTTCATCTGAGGAAACAAAGTTGCTCAGGGAGAGATTGGGTGAATGGGGAGGATGGGGCATGGGGGTCATGTTGTTTTTGGTGAAAACCTATTGAACACTCAACACAGTGCAGGCAGGTATATTTGTAAGTCATCCATCATGAAATGGACAAATGTATTGAAAGAGACTTCAGAAAAAAAAAGTCAAACGCAGCCTCTCACAATAATGCCAAGTGGTACACTGATAATAGATGGGTTCCTATACTCACCTAGCGGGGGAAGCCTGTACTACAAGGGGCCTGCTCTCCAGAAGATAATTCCTTTCTTGAGGGGGTTGCAGGGGTCTCCTCTCATATTTCTGCATCTACTCTGAAATACTATAACATTCTATTCTGAACATGGAATGCTTATACCATAATGAATCTACATACTGGCCATTATTTTTTATAGCCAAATCCAACAACTTTAACAGTCAATGTTTAAGGGTGGGTGGGTGGGTGGGTGGGTGGGTGTGTGTGTGTGTGTGTGTGTGTGTGTCCTTTACCTTATATAACTAAAAAAAAAAGTACAATATATTATTAATGGACTATTATCAGATATTAGGTAACAGGGAATCCATGCCATCTTTCTCTTAGAGAAAGGGAACAAATGCAGTGAGCTTTTTCATTGTTCCAGCTTACTGCCTGAAAAGATTTCATTCTGCAGCGTACAGAGGAGAAACCCAAACAGATCCCAGCAATCTCCCTGAATTGAGGTGGAGTTTAGAGTACGGAAAATGCAAGATGGCTCGAATTCATGGGACACATTATAGCAGAGGAGAGAACTGCACCAGAGTGTGAGAGCCCAAGAATTTTGTAAAGTTCCCCAAGTTTTTAAGTTGCAGTCAGCACAAATATGTGAGGAAACTCCCTAGGCTGGAGAAAGAACTACTAAAATGAACAGCCAGAGCCATCCTTGGAGCTTGCACAAAGTTGAGGATAATTTGTGTTTCCACCAGCTGGAATGGAAACACCTCATATTTGGAGAGTCACAGTGGAACATCAGAAGAGAATTGCGTCAGTGGGTGGTTCAAATTAGATCTTTACTATAGGCTGCCTATAAACCCTCCTAACTAAACATAAATGCATGCCACTAAAGGACTTATAATCAAATAATTTAACTGCTTCCAAGAACAAAGCCAATGGCATTTAAAGGAATAGAAAGAATCCATGGTGTAAATGTAAGGTGTACAACATGTTGATTTGACAGATTTGCATATTATGGTATGGTAGGATGATTAATGACATTTTACTTTTCCATAACAAATGATGAAAACTATACAGAGATTTAGTCTTTGTGACTTATGGTGAAAACATATACTACAGGTCTTTTCACATCAGTAATGATCACCACAAATTGAAGAAATGTGTCATTACAGAGATTAATGTCATTTGAGAATTTGTTGGCCTTTAGCTGGGACAAGTAGTGGCTACCAGGACCTGTATCAGGAGGTGGTGCTGAATCAGGTGGTGACCCTGATTAGAGATGACTGACCTGTGTCATTCAGAGTGTGCACAGCCAATAGCCTTTCCTTCTTCAGTTGCCTTAGCTTCCAAAGAGCTTCTAGGTACTGGGCTTGATTTTACAGGCAACAGATATTCTTAGTCCCTCTTCCAATCTCAGCTAGAACTCGATGTCCTCTCACCTTGGATAGGTCGTTAATCTGCCAAGGTGAAGCATGCCAATTTCTGAAACATTTTATGCTCTTCCTAGACACCCCTCCCCCACCCCCGCCAAGTTCAATGACAGTGTCCAAGTCTTTCGTCATGTCCCATGAACAGGCTATCAAGCTACCAAACCAGATAGGATTCTTAATTTAGAGAATGGAGAAGAGCCATGGAGAGAAGATAAAATTCAATATCAGTGCTTTTCAGGTGAGTGAGCAAGTGAGAACAAGCAAGACATGAGACCCTTTAAAGTAAATCAGTGGGCCACAAAGGAGTGACCCCTACCAAATGTGTTTGAACAAGGCTAAAACTTTGAAGGTCATTACAAATACCTAAACCATCAATGAGGCTGTTTCAAGGAAGACGATCCTCTTTTTCTCTCTCTGGATTGACCCAGTGTTCAGTAGACTGTTGTCTGCAGCATCCAGCCTTCTTGTTGTCTCTACACCTCTTGTTTTCACCCCTTTCACCTGATTAACAATTCTTCCCGATAATTAGTCCTGGGATATTTGGCCCACTGTCTTTGTGGACCTCTGTGGGCCATGTGAGGTTGTATTGAAGCAAGTTAGAAGGTTGGACTGTTGACTACAGTGGTGTTCTCTACATATATTTGAGGCTTGAGAAGGATCCGTGTCTGTTGCATTCAAAATTAGAACAGAAAATCAGTAAGAAAGGATAACTTAAGTGAGAAGCTGAGGATCTTTCATTCTAATCAGCTTCCCCAGATATTTGTTCAGGACTTAAGTTAGTGTCTTCCTTGGTAGTCATTGTTTGTACCTAATGGATAGACCTCCATTCTCTGGGCGTCTTCTGAAGTTTCAGTGTTAGCTAGACCTCCATTCTCTGGGCGTCTTCTGAAGTTTCAGTGTTAGCATGAAGCTTCATCATTGGCTATTTTTATCATTTGTTCCCAGTATAATGTCATTCAATTTCATGGCCTTACCAATATTGATTATATACTGATGGTTCCCAAGTCCCTATATACAGGCCCGATCTTCCTTTATCCCCACATGTTCACCTGGCTATTTTTATTTCTGCACATGGAGATTTAATTGCTACCTCAAATTTCACATCACTCTTGGTTCCTTTCTTTACACCACAAATATAATTTACTAGCAAGTCTAGTATTTGCTTTCTTTTTCTTACATCCTGAGGCCCTGCACTTCTTTAACTATTATTTGTGTCTCTCTCACACACTGATGTTTTTCTCTTTCTCCCTCCCTTATCCTCTCTCTAGAAGTAGATAACATCTTTAAAAAAAATGAAAATCAGGTTGTGTCACTCTCTTCCACTATTACCCTGAATGGCATCCCTTTACTATTAACATACTAAACAAATTTCTTTCAAGATCCTCATGTGTGAGCATGTCTGGACTCCTGCCTAAATTTGTATTTACTTCATGTAAAAAATTTTTGAGGTATTCCATACACTCACAAAAAAAATTCACTAATAAAGGGCACAGCTCAATTTTCATAATCAGCACACTGTGTAACTAGCACCTAGATCAAGAGTACCAGAGTACTGTGCAGAATGCCACCGTGTGACTATAAAATGATTTATCCATTCTACATTTAGGCCAC